ATAACAAGGTGTAGAGCTGGATGAACGCAGGCCAAGCAGCATCAGAGAAGCAGGAAAGCCCCAAAACGTCAGCTTTCCTGCTCCTCTGATGCTGCTTGGCCTGCTGTGTTCATCCAGCTCTACACCTTGTTATCTCAGATTCTCCAGCATCTGCAGTTCCTACTATCTAGGAATATTCCCTTGCTCAGTCTATAGTGCACCAACTGGAAGGCCAGAATGACTGGCTGATCTTAGCACAAATACTTGGATCTAGATAATCCCTCAAGTTTGTGTTACTGGCTTTGTATACAGATAAATCCCAGATCAATTATGAACAGAGCTGACCAATATAAATTCCTATGATGACATTACCCAGGGCAGTGAAGCTTTGTTTCAAATAAAATCGATCACCTCATAATGGATCAACTTTGATAACATTAAAACTCCCAGCCTAACCTCTAATTCTAATTTTTAAAAAAGACATTTAACCAACTCTTTGCTTTTTAACTAGCATTACTGAAACTTGTTGTGATCCTGTTTGTCCATGCTGCACCCTCCCAAGGGTTTGACTTTCAGGAAGGATATTCTTTGTAGAGAATACAAAGCTCGATATAACAATGATAAAAGCTCTGATTTGTTCACTATGAACACCAAGCAGAATCTAACTTCATTTCTCTTGTAAATTTAAACCATTGCTATACTCAGAGTTCAATGTTTAATTTTTTTTTACATTTCCTCACAAAAACTGATCATTTGCATATTTAATATGTTGTCTGACTATTCATGATTTTGGTTCTTTCTTCAACTCTAATTAGTTAACCACACTGAGTTGAGTTTGCACTTAATGTTTCTAGTTTCCTAAAAAGATGCAACCATTTCCAAAATCACATCACATTGTTCCTCAATATTTATAATGCACAAGGTTTATGACTTATAACAAAACATTTTCCTTTCAATACTCGAGTTATTAACAGGATCTTAACAGCAACTCCCTGTTGCAGTCACTTCTTATTCCTTTAGCCATGTGGGCATTTTTATATCATGAGTGTCTCTGCTTTGTGCTCCTTAAAACAGTAGTTGCCCAACACTTGATCTGAAGTTCATTCCACTACTCACACTTAACTATTGACTGTCAAGATGAAATAGTTACAAATGATGAGATTTTTCAAGTTAACTATCATTCAAGAGTTTTCTAGAGTAGATAAATATCTTTAAAATCATTTGTTAAACATTCTCAAAATTAGACATCTCCTATCTGTAGGATTTTAGGCAGCTTTATGGGTAAGGGATTGTCTTGCATTAAGAATTTAACATGGGTGCAAGTAAGCAGATTGATGTCAATATTATACTATGTTATCAATATTCATATTCAAGCACATGTCTCTGAGATCAGGCTAGGGATTTAAGTATAACTTGACATCAGCAGGATGTGCACAATTTTTGATCTAACTTGGATTGTACTTTCACAGGAAATTGCACAATTATCCAAGATGCATCACCAGATTAGAGAGTCAGTGAGGTAGGTTCAACTTGCTACTTGGGAAGCAATCTGAACCAACACTTCAGTGTGATACTAACAGCACCCTCCCTCGTTGAAGGCTGCTGTGTTTTTGTTAAAACAGAAGGCAGTAAACTGAGGCTCCACCTGCCTTTTCAGGTGAATGCAAGAGGTTTTGTGCACATTTCATGGCAAATATGGCATTAACTTGCCATTTACTGTTTATGGGATCTTGCTGTGCAGAGAAAGCACTGCTCTACAACTTTAACAGCACTTCAACAAGTGATACATTATCAAGCATTTCAGACATGCTGAGGATGCTAAAGTGTTGTTTAATCGCTGTATGAAGAAGTTCCTTCTAAAGCATGCGCTCCTCTATCCCCAGCTTAGCCACAATCTATATTCAATCACTCTGGAGCTCATTAATATTATCATCTAAGCTAGTTTATTTATTGACTCTCAGATTTTAAACTCTCTCAATTAAGACATCTTGAAAGCTCCTTCCCCCATGTAAGTATCTCTACTACTGCGTCATATCTCAGAGCAACAGTGTGCAATCCTAATTATTAATGCAGCTGTTTACACATCCAACAACAAAATATCACCTACATACGGTTAAATGGCAAGCAGGTTGTCATTAAGAACAAAACAGGGTATTCCCATAAACCGTACTTTACTTTCTCATATCAACTTTTGTGAGCTCTTGAACTAATGCTCAAGCAGTCCACTTCCATGACAGCACAAGTCCTAGTTGTATTGCCGGCAATTGCTCATAATCAACAGTTATACATCAACGTTCCGCTAGAGAGCCAATCTTCCATGCTTTAGTATGGTCGTGGGCCATCATACAAAACAGCAGTCCTGGCAGGAACTACACCAGACACGATAACAAAACAATGGTCAGGAATGAGGAGGTTAAGAACGGGAACTCAGTAAAGACAAGAGGCATACGGGAGCACCTCAGCAGTCAGGCCTTGCACACAAGTAGAAAAAAAACAAATGCAGTTTAGTGAGCTTTGTCACCAGGCTGCAAAGTTGTATTGTGGATTCTTTTGGCAATCAAAGCAAAATATTGCAGATTGTCATGAAATAAGGCCCAGCACACAAACAGCAGGTAAACTAAGCTCTACAGATTTTAATCTTCATGCTTATTGACAAACATCTTTAGGACATTTCATTGCACAGAGAACACTTTAGAATTCACAAGATTGCTTTTGACAAGATACATCAGTGAGATCACCAAAACACTCCACGAGGGCTTCTACTAATTTGAATTACTTTGTCTAACAGCAACATACAAATTAATTCAAATTCACAACAGTACCAATGTCTGCTTGCATCCCAAAATGTGCATGAGAAAAAGAAATGTACTTACCAGTTTGATTGCTACGTATTCATTTGTGTAGAGATTTTTGCCTGCAAGAAAGTGAAATGAAACATTTAAACAGTGAAAATCGTACACTTCTCTGCATACTAATGCATATTGCATAGAAAGCTACTATTTCAGAGATAGAGAGAGAAATTTATATCTAAAAATACAGGGGGTAAAACCATCAGCCAACTTCAGGATAAGAAAGTCCATTTCCTCCCCATCAAGACTATGTGTCAATGACTTATTGGGAACACAGAATCAGCAATTGTGGATTCTAGTTATAAATCAGGACTGGATCATCTATTCTACAGTCCATTGTAGTCCTGAGGGAATGCTGTTCTCTCAAGTTAAAATGGAGAGACACACAGATTTCCTCTAGATCTGGTTGCTTCTTCAAGATAGACTTTGAAAATCCTGCAGTATTAGTGGAAAGAAAAAGTAGGGATGGCTCTCAGACCTTATCAGGAATCTCACCATTGTTCTCTCTTCTGACATCTATGAAGCTCCCAAGTTCAACTGAATCAGTTCAACTCCATTTTTATTGGTTGCAAATTGACAATTCAGGACATTTGAAAACTGGGAATGGAATTGTTACTTCACTTTAGCTCAGTAACAAGGGATTCAGTGGGTAATTGGGAAATATCACACTTGTGGCATATCAAGGTCTATGGTAAGCTGAGTTAAGATACGCTTTTGAAGCAATGCAGAAACAGCTCCACTCGGTATCAGACTCTCCAAGGCTTAATAGGAAACACGAGTAGGAATTTGAGTTCCAAGATTGTCACAATAGACTCAAAACATTAACTGTTTCTCTCTCCAAAGATGCTGCCAGACCAGAGTTTCTCCAGCACTTTGTTTTTATTTGTGATAGAAACTTGATTCTGTGTGAACCTAAAGCAGCGGATAACAGGAAATTTTATACCCACCATGTGCCTTCAATATGAAAAACTACAGCCTTCATCAGCCAGGGGAAAAATTGTGTAAAGTTGTTTTAACAGTCATACTTCAGAATACAGGTGGCTTGCTTTAATTACAAGAGATTTTCACTGGTACAAGAAAATGGCTTGCCATTACCTTCTCTAGGGAAATTAGGGATGGGCAACAAATGCTGAAAGACCCACATCACGAACGAAGAATGAACCACTGATTGCTCAGTTTAGGATCACAAAGCTGCTAATCTGCATCTTATAGTTTACAGCACACTAGCGACCACATAATGACTACAGTCCATGCAATGCGGTTAACACCCAATGGGGCATTCCCTTCTGATCAGCCCAGCGAAAGAACAGTGATATAGTTCCAAATCAGAAGGTGAGAGAGAGATGGAAGAACACTTACAGATGGTGGCATTTCCATGAGCCTGCTATTCTTGATGCTCTGGCTCAAGGGTCTAGAAGATGTTATCAATGGAATCTTGAACAAATGACTGTTGAATCTTGCAGATGGTATGGGGTCACTTAGCTGTCTACAGCATGCTGCTTCTGATGTTTGGCATGCACATAATCCTGTGTTGTAGCTTCACCAGATTGGCACTGAGTTTCAAAACAACGTTTGCTGCTGCACTCCTGGTTAAATCAGAATTAGTCTCCTGACTAGATGGTAATAGCTATGATGAACTGATGTAAGGCAAGAGTGATCACTAGTCATTAAGGTAGCATTTGGACAAGTGTGGTATTAAGGTACTCTAGCAAAACTGGAGTTAATAGTCTACCACTTCCTCTGGCAGCTCATCCACATACACACCAGTTTCTATGTGAAAAAGTTGTTCCTCGGGTCCCTTTTTAAAATCTTTCCCCTCTAACCCTAAAACTATGCCCTCTCGTTTAGGACTCCTGTACTCTCGAAAAAGGGCTTGGCTATTCACCCTATCGATACCTCTCATGACTTTATAAAGCTCTAAGGTCACCCTTCAGCCTTCTACATTCCAGTGAAAAAAGTCCCAGCTTTTCCAGCCTTTCCTTATAACTCAAACCTTCCAGTCTCACAGTTACAGCGATAGGAAAGATTTAGTGGGATATGGGCCAAATACTGGAAAGTGGGAGTGGTTCAGTTTAGGAAACCTGGTTGGCATGGACGAATTGGGCCAAAGGGTCTGTTTCCATGCTCTATGACTCTAATTGAAATCAGATGAAAACACTAACAGTCCAGTTCAAGTTTTGTTCAATGGAAACTCCCAGAATGTTGCGAGTGGGGGATTTAGTGGCAGCAACGACATAAAATGTCAAAGGACACTGGTTGGTCTAGTTTCTAGTATAAAATAAACGGTTGAGGTTGTCGGGGGTCAGTTATCTCAATCTTAAGACATCTCGGCATGAGTTCCTCAGGGTAGTGTCTTCAGGCCAACCAAGCTCAAGTACCGAATGAATACCTTTCCCACCATTATCAGGTCACAACTGGGGATGTTCACTGATTGCACAACTCCTCAGAGTATGAAACAGTTCATATCAAAATGCAGCAAAATGTGAAAATTCAGGCTTTAGCTGATAAGTGGCAAGTAACATTCACACCACACAAATGCCAGGCAAGACATCTCCAACAAGAGTGAATCTGACCATTTGACATTTAATGGCATTACTATCACCAAAAAGCCCACTATCAATATCCTGGGGATCACCACTGAGCTGCACCAGCCATGTAAATACTGTGTCTGTAAGAGCAAGCCAAAGGCTAGGAATCCTTCAGTGAGTTACTCACCTCCTGACTCCTCAAAGACTGTCCACCATCTACAAGGCATAAGTCAAGAGTGTGATGGAATATTTCCCAGTCATCTGGATGAATGTAGCTCCAACAATGCAAGAAGTTCACCATCTAGAACAAAGCAGCCTGCTTGATTGGCACCACACTCTCAAACAATCACTCCCTCCACCATCAATGTGGAGTGACAGCAATGTGTAAAGGTCCTTTAACAGCACATTACAAACTCTCAATCTCTAGCACCTCGAAGGACAAAGTTAGCCAATGCATGGGAACACCCCCACCTGCAAGTTCCCTCCACATACCATCCTGACATACAGCCATATCATCATTTCAACACTGTTGCTGGACCAAGATCCTGGAAATCCCTCCCTGGTCTGTGGGCCAGCTCTCCTATTCTTGGCACATTAGAAGGAGAACATGATACAGCGGAGTCATGTGCTCATCCATTTCAGAGAGCAGTGAGAATGTATCACATTGCTGTGGGTCTAGAGTTACATGTAGGCTAGAATGGATAAGGATTTCCCTCTCTGAAGGACAATGAGCTACACGAAATTTTATGACAGTCTGGTAGCTTCTGTGATCATGAGTGAGGCGAGCTTTGATTGAGTAGATTGCATATAAATTCCTTCCTACCTGCAATAGTGGGGTTTAAACCCCTGGCTCCAGCACATTAGCCTGTTGCCACTGGATTTCTAGTCCAGTAACATTAACACTATGCCACTATCAAACCAGTCATCAAATCATTGGTTTGGAATCATTGATCAAGAAACAGAACAAGTCCAGTGAACACCACATATAGAACACACTGACCGGTGGGAATTTGAGGAATGTATTCCAAACACAGTGGATGTTACCATTGACAACCATTAAAAAAGGGGGAAAAAAAAAAATCAGTTCAACAGATTGAATTGAAGTCAAATTCACTTTAGGACTTGGCATGTTTTATTCCCTAAAATGAAGAACATTCCCCAGCTTCTTGCTGGCACTGTGTATTCTTCAGAGTATTCTTCTCAGTAACATAATTCCTTTACAAGGTCACAGGTTTTTAAAGACACTACCTCCTCGGTTCAGCCCCTGCTTCGCAGCACAAATGAACAACTGAGCTTGCTCCTACTCACAGACCAGATCCACCCAAGAGCAGAAGCAGGCAAATGCTTCAAGAGACAAGGAATCTTTCAGAAGAAATGGGATACTTAAAAAATTTAGCCAGAGAAAGAATTGGAGATCAACCACAAAGAATGCACAGCTCAGAAACAGGCCATTCAGCCTGGTTGACTTCTGCCTCACACAAGCCTCCTCCCGCCCAAATCATCACAATGTCAATATACCATTCTAAAGGAGCACTTTATTTAATTAAATCAGTTTTTGTCCATTTCCAAAATCTCCCAAGGTTTCTCTCTTTATTTCCATACATACAGTACTGAACTATTCTAGCAACTGGCCAAGTCTGGCAGAATAATCAAACTGCAAATTCAAACAACTGCCTAAAATTCGTCTCCAGTTTCTACCTTGTAGTTGATGGCATTATCACTGCGTTGCTCAGGCACCGGTCTGAAGGAACACCCGTTCATAAGTTTCAGCAGATGCCAGACCAACATCAAGATTGTGCAGAATCACAGCAAACGCCCTACACTACAGCCAGCTATTAGAACAAATGTTCTGCCACTGTGAGGCCAGTGAGATTTCAATATTGCCATGAGCCTCAATGAGAACTGAGGACGGGGTGGGATATTACCCATAATACGACAGGAGGCAGAGGAATTGGTCACTGCTGCCTCAGAGCTCGTGGATCCAAAATTTCAGTTTGCCATCCACATGGTATCACAACCTTCATCTTTGGGAGAAGCTACATCACGCATTATACATCATGAAAACTTTAACCACACCAACACAACTCTCATTGAACTCAATGAACAAATAGAAGTTTACTGCTTTTAAGTTTGAATAGTCCCTTTTACTCTGCTTCAAAAGCATCACCCCACCGCCCCACCACCCCCTATCCCCCCCAAATCTTTACTGGTTCTGGTTTCTTTTACTCAAATGGGACGATGGGAAGATTATTACAGATTCAAAATTCTGATATATCAAAATGCTTTAAATGACAAAAACAAATAAATTCAGTGGGAGCCCATCACTACTTCCATCCAGTACTGCCAGAAGGCTGCAATGTTAGAGGTATTGCCTTTCAGTTGAGACATCCAAGTCAGGTTTCTTCTGGCTACGACTGCCACTAAAATCCAACACCCTGACAAATACAATTTTGTCCCGTTAGCAGTTATTTCAATCAACATCTTTGGACATGTTATGACACACCTCCAGGGCAGCATCTAAAGCCAAACCTTCAGGT